GCCCACATCTCCTAGCGTTGCTGACAATAAAACCGGAGTGCTTACACTGTCTATAAACCAAGCAAATATTTCAATGGCCAAATCAGAATCCTATGCATATTTTAACAGATACATACTGCAAATGCTTTTGTCTGGCTCATCAAAAAAAACACTAGTCTATACAATCTCTCATATATGCACCCTAAAAATACATTTCTACAAGATTAACTCCATAAATTTAGTTTCTCTAAAAATATATTACTGTATGTTCAAGAATTAATTAAATTAATGAAACAAGCCATAAATGTAAGATTAGGTCATTTAATTTCAGGCCATGACTTCACAAGGGTCTCTATAACACTGGTATATGAGACATCACGTTCACTTTTATTTTCATTTGTCCACAGAAACTTAATATCTTGTTGCCTGCAACAGGGTGGTTCAGGACAATGACTCAGAAAATACTGACCCTCACATTCCAAGTCAGTGGTTATGACTTCTAATACTAGTTTGGTGGCCTAGGAAATCATCATCGTTTCATGTTGGTTTCACAGTGTGTACCTATCCACAGAATGTAGCCAAATTAAAAAGCAGCATATTATCAATATGGAGAACAATTGGTCACCATGTAAGGTCAGTTTTATTCTACTTATGCCCTCATATTCTTAGAAGTGGTTCACTCAAGACAGTGGTCTGATCCAGTGATGGAAAATGATGATACAACTGAGATGCAAAGTTTACCTGTCCTGGGAGTGACGGGCAGAGCTAATACCTTAATTCACAGGCCAACACTGGTACTAAAAAGAAAGCCTTGTTTTATTTTAAAGACTCAACTAAAATATAAAGGCCGAGGCAAGTATTTTGCCTTACAAATTAATTTGTTCCACATTTATCTCTATTTCCACATAACTGGAAAGAGCAACAGCTTTGTATTGAACAAGGTTTTGAAGGGAAATTATTCATGTCTTTAAGGGCAGCACTGCCACCTGGTGTTGCAGATGAGCCAATTTAGGTCCTGTGAATCTTCCTAACAAAAAAATGAAATTTCCTACCTCACCTGCATTCTGCCATCCCCTGCGATTCTGCTTTCATTTGTACTTCATTTTTATTATATGGAATCCAAATTACTTCTAGGCAGCCATCTTCCTACCAACAAGCAATTTTCAAAATCCAAATTAACACATTTTCAATCCTATCTTCTTGAACAAAAGCATTTTGGTACACAAAATACAGTCTTGCTCTTTCCCATACATTTTTCAACAGTGAAGTCTGCGAAACTCATTCATACCTGGATTCTAAATGGAGGATACAGTGAAGACAATAAAGCATGTCTTACATGGACACAGTAAATGAGCCTGTGTCTGGGATAGCACATCACTGCAGCAGAGAAATGGAAATGACTTGAAATAAAAAAATACTTTTGCCCTTAAAGTATCTTCACAACATAGTTTTGTGTAACAACAGTTCTAAAACAACGTTTGAAACACAGAAATAAAAGAGAATAAAGAGCATTTCCTCAACACAAGGAACTCACTCTAGCTATAATCACCAGTTAGTACAGACAAGACTGTATGTACAACCAGACAATTGACAGCTACAGAGCAGACGTCTGCAGGGCTGTCTCCTCTCTGAAAATGCTAATACAGCTGACACCGTGCTAACTTGTTTTCTTTTTTCTGCGAACACAAAATGAAAATGCAAAGCAGTTCTTTGAAAATCATGGAATAGACATCTGCTCTGGCTCAAGACCATCAGCAGAGGAGCAGCAAGAACTGTGCCTGCCAAACAGACACAGAAGGTCTTGCCAGGCCTGGAGAAAGCCAAACATGGACTGTACCAGCACCAGCACAATGTTTTTTTTCTACAGTGGATTTCTATTGGCTATGACACTTGCCAAAATAAGAACTCATTTTCACCTGGAGGTGTGACTAGTTCAAATGCATCGCAGGGCACAAATCTGTGGCTCCAGCCCAAAATACATGGCATGAGCAGTCCTATTGACAGCAAAGTGTAACAAGGTATTAACACTCTCTGCAGGATCCAAGCTACATAAATAAGGACCCGCGGGCTGTTTCTCATCCATGTAGAGCCTAATTCCCACCTAAATGCTCATAGGCAAATAAAGGAAAAAAATTAGTGCATAAAAACCAGACTGGTTATTTTGTCTGTCCTCCTGCCTGACAAAAGCCCCTGAATTTCAGCTGATGATTCTTCTTACAGCCTCATAAACTGTGCTGCAAATAACAACCACAGTTCAGAGGCCCAGCAATGAAAACAGACTATAAATTATGGAGTCTCCAAATTTATGGTACAAAACAAAATTAAAAAAAAAAAAAATCTATCTTTAGCATGGAAAAATGCTTTACAAGATGCTTTGTCTTTAATGTAGTAACCAAAAAGACAGTGGAATGTCATTTCAAATGTAAGATAGACAAATAATTTAGCTATAAAATTTGCACAGCAGATCTCAGTACCATGTGTAGATACAGTTTAACATATAAGTTCTTGAAAATAAGAAGTTTAGCTTCATTCCCCCCTCTTCCTAAAAAAATAGTTTATAATTCAAGATGAAACTGATAAAACTGCAAAACCTTGAAGAAAATTTTCTATTTAAAAAATGTCTTTAAATATGATTGTCCTGTAATACTTCTAGAATAGCTTTTTTTTCACACTGAAGTACTGTTAAAACAATGTCAATGAAGACATCAGTCAGAGACAGTCACACACTTTGGATTTTGTGAAAGAAAAAAATTAGCTAGTAGAAACTGAACATTAAGTAAACAGGCAAATTCTAACTTGTTTCTGTACTACAGCTTTGAATACATATGACAAATTTTTAAGATGTTGAGTGCTTTTTGATATAGAAGCCCAGAAGCATATTGTTTCATACCCTTTTTTATTTTGAAGGTCTTACAGATGGCAAGGTAACCAAAAATGAGCTCAGGCTGCAATTAATTAGACAAAGTGGAAACAAGAAACCAACTTTTCTCACCCAGGCTATGCTCCTCTTTTTTCCTCTTATCCCATTTTGAGCTATCCACATAGGCTGAAGAAAGAAGAGATCTTCGACCTAATGAAGAGAGAAAACCTATTGAAGCTGGGTTGCTTACACAGCTCTACACAAACATTTTATTAGGTACTACCTTCTTTTGTCATATTTGCTAAGTGGAATGCATTAAGTGTCTTTATGTCAGTAACTACTAATCTAACAATTCAGATTCTTTATATGTGAATCAACTATTACATTGTAATATTTAAAACTGAAAAGCTTTCCCCAAAAGTTTTTTTTTAAGCATGAAACATGTATTTCCAAACCTAAACTCCATATTCAAGAAAATATCAAATTTGTAAAGGTAGAAAAAACCCTCAACAATAAAAGCAACTTCTTTGTGCCCACAGACCTTTTTCATCAAATGTTAGCAATTAGCTAAATGTAGGTTAAAAACACAAGCAAAAAGAAAAAAAAACCCCACACAAACATGCTTTTCTGCTGTTGCTGAATGGCTATTTCCACTACAAAGGCATGTCTCACTGAAAATACTTTCATTTTTACAATCGCCAATCTTCCATCTCCCATGAACTGCAGACTCACTAAAATATTTGTGAAAGCTCTTTCCAAACACTCTTTGTACCACAAAAACTTCTCAAGATGCTGTGTTAGCTTTTGAAACAAAATAGAAAATGCTTCAGCTGGAAGAATTTGTGTATCAGTCATAGATGATAAGGTCTTGAAAATGCATGAGGAATACCTGGATAAAACTCGTTGAAGGAAGATACAGAAATACATGCAGAAGGTCGCAGGAATTAACATTATGAAATAAGAATATTTTAAAAATAGATACTACAGTACTACACAGAAGTCTTAGCAACTACTTCAAAACCTTCATCTAAACATCTAACTGCTAGCACTAAAAAGTTTCGTTTTGGTTGTGAAACAATTTTTCCTTCTTATCACCTTTCTGACACACAATTATACCCACACATCCTGCACTGAACACCTCATGAAACTACAATCAAAAAGATTCAGAACACAGAATTCCACAGTTAGACTTCAAAATTATGTACAACACTTGACCAAACAGTTAGAAAATAATAATAACTTTAAAAGGTATTTCTGGTTGGTTGGTGGCGCTTCCTTTTAGCAGTCTTTTTCCTTATGTTGATAGAAGAGACACACAAAAGATTCATCAGTTTTGGTGCGGCACGTTTGGGGTCTTTTATTGCCGGTTTTTTCCTTCAGCATAAACAAAAAGTCATTCATTCATTCATTCATTTACAGCTAGGGATGACACGAGCAAGTAGGAGGCTTTCCAGGCCTTTTCCGCAGCACAGGCCCAGCGTGTGCCAGGCCCGGAGCCAGGAGGCCCGGCCGGGCCGCGCGTCTGCAGCTATCGGGACGCAGCACGGAGACACGCGTGCTCAGCGAGGGCGGAAAGGGCACCACCGCCAGCAACTGTGCCCAGCCTCACTGGGCTCAGTTCTGCTCCAAGGCCAGCTCTTTGGCTTTTCCAAGACACCAGCCTTGGTGGCGCCTCTGTCGCCACCGGTACCGGTTTTCCTGAACACGCACTGCCGCGGGTCTGGCGGCCTGCCGTACAATTCCGCGTGGCTTGCCCTAACCCAAAAAGCCATGTCGAGCTATGAAATCGGCTCGGGAAATTACCTATTAAAAAACAAATTGCGAACAGTCTCCTGCACTACATACTAGCCATTAAACGTCTTCTGAGCTATCTCCAAATCCACACGTGCACACAGACGAAAGAGGGAAAGGTGAGTGAAGTCCCTACGCAGCACCCCGTCCCTGCTCATGCTCCCCACCGCAGCCGGCGGCAACCACGGCAGCCAGCGCCGCGCCCCCCCGCCCCGCCAGCAGCGCACCGACCTGGGGCCGCGCCGAGGGCGCTCCCGCTGCAGAGCACGGCGCGCCGGAGCACGGGGGCGGCCATGGCGCCGAGGCCGGAGGAGGCGGGGAGCGGAGCGGAGGGGCTGCAAGCGCCCCGCCCCGCGGGCTCGGCCGGGAGATGGCGGCGGTGCTGGCGGGCGGCTCCGGGCGGGCAGCGCGGGAGGTGGTGCGGCGCTCGGCGGTCCGCCCGCCTGCCTCGGGCGGCTGGGGCTGCGCGCCCGCAGGTACCGCGGCTTGTGCGGCGGGGGTGGGTGCCGGGATGCCCGGGCGGGGCGCGGGGCTGCCCGCTGTCTGCGGAGCTCCGGAGTACTGCAGCTCCCGGCAGGCCCGCCCGCCGCTGCCAGCTGTGTGCCTGACGGGAGCTGTAGTTGCTGAGCGGGTGCCCCGCTCGGCGCGGGGTGTTGTGGCGGGGAGCACCGCGGATTGTGCTGTGGTGGATAGGCCGAGCTGGCGCGGCAGAGGTGCAGCCCGGGGAGAGACGGCGTCACAGAATCGGTGCAGCAATCACATTATGGCCTAGCTTGGAAGGGACTTTAAATATCATCCACTGCGAGCACCGTCCCGTGGACACACCTCCCACTAGACCACATTGCTCAGAGCCCCATCCAGCCTGGCCCTGAGCCTGTCCAGGAATGCTAGATCCGCAGCTTCTCTGAGCAAATTATTCCACTGTCTTACCACCCTCTCAGTAAAGAATTTCCTCTTCATCTCTTACCTAAACCTGTTCTCTAATCAAAGCCAATGACTCCAGTAGAAGGCCACTCCCACGTGTCTTAGCAGTACATGCCCCTTCCTACGTTCTGCTCCTGCTCTCTTGCAGGCCCCACTGAAAGGGTGCAGTAAGGTCACCCCAGAGGTTAGTGTTAGTCAGCATATCCCCTGCTTGCTGCTGTCAGGATAGGACATTAAAAAACAAACCAAAAAAACCCCAAAAAGCAAGCAAACAAACAAACAGAAAAACAACAAACAAACATGCAGATTCATAAATGTGTATCATTTCTGGGAGGATAACAGCCTTATGCATACCCTGGGATTCAGAGATAAGGAGAAAGGGGCGCATGGAAAAGAGGTGTATGGCAGAGTGCTCCCCAGCCTAGGCCCTCGCAGGGCTCCTGTCCTGCTGTGCCAGCAGAGCTGAAAGTTTCGCTCTAACAGAGGTTACACCTCTGTTACATCCCTTCGAGATATGGAGACCCGTCTGTCTCGAATGCCCATCCCCTTCAGGGACTGGCCATGCAGAGGGTTGCAGTGTGCCTGAAGCTAAACAGTTTGGTTGGCTGAGTTCTCTGGGATAGTCTGCACCACCTGCACATGCCAGCTCTCATATCCATCTCCCTCTTTTTTCCTTGGCAGTCCCTTTGGTTTTGAAACATTTCTGTAACACTGTAAGTATGTGTCTAAGGAAGCAGTACAATTAATCAAATTGAATTCAAGAAAAATAAAATTCTGCTGCCCTAATCTCTCTATTGACACTGACAACTGATTGTCCATGATATGTGATGCACTAGTCCCACCCCAGGCACCAGCATGATTTCTGCACCAGCTTTGGAGAGGCCCATGACAAGAATGGTCTTTCAGTGTTAGACCAACAGAGGTCTGTGGGAAGGAAATGGCAGTGTAATACAGGTCAATTTCATGCTGAATAAAATGTATTTGATTACCCATTGGAACTGTTTCAATTAAATTTAATGGATAAATGTGCCATTTAATGGATTTTTTTCTTCAGGTTTTATGAAGCGTGTCATTATCATGCTTCACTTGCTTTGAAAACGAGTGGTTTTATTTACATGGCCACTTACGTTTTCCTAGGGATATGCAGAATGAGAATAAACAACCTAACTCAGTTCAATACTTGCTCTTGTGCTTTCGTGGTTAGAATAATTCCTTATAAGCCAAAACCTTAAAATATTAGATTGTAACATTGTAATCTGTTATTGTGACTCTCTGTTACTAAGCCAGTGGTTTCAAATAAAAATCCTCTGGACACCTGTTTTTGTGACAGCCAAAACTTGTCAAATAGCTTTTGCATGATGCTTGTTTTAAAGCAGCTTGCAATACAGTACAGTTAAAGTCAGCACCCAAAGTTAATTTTGACATTCAATTTTGACGGTCACACTCAGTGGCTGTCTTACCTCTGACGTCTGTACAGCAACAGAACATTACTAGGCCTCCAGAGTGTTACTACCATCCAAATAATACACTTGTTGTTTTTATAAATTAAAAAAATACGTTTTCTGTGACTTCCTACTGCATTTGGAACTTCCAGAATGTTTAATTTTATAGTAGCAAGGACAGCACTTGTGGAGTAAGCAAGTTGTGACACTAGTGAACTGTGGAAAAACAAAGGAAAACAAGACAAATCAGTATAAAACTGTAAAGGAGAGAGCAGGAATTTTGTGCAGAATCTTCTTGTACCTGGCTTAGTGGAGAGGAATGTAGCCTCTAGTTTTTCTTTTGCACATCCAATAACTAGATACTTCTTCATCCTTGTACGCATAAGCTCTGGAAAGCTGTGACATATTATTTGGGTTATTTTATCAGTGTTGCGAGTAACTGCAAATTTTGCAGTCTGTATTTTAGTGTCCTATCCCAATGGTCTGGCATCACACAGTTGTCTGTAATTCATACGTGCTAGGTTCTGTACTATTAAATCATACAGTGTAACATAAAACCTGACCTTCCTCTTTTTTTCTTATGGCAGGGAAGCGGTATCTGCTAACAGAAGAAGATATAAAGTTACAACAATTTCAGCAGATGAAGGTGGCGATTAGAAATGAGCTTCATGGCAATAAAGGTATACCATTTATTTCACCACTTTAGCATGAGTCTTAGGAAACAGGAAGTCAAAGTCATAATAATATCATCAATTGACCTCATTTAAAGAAACAAATTATGTCTTCCTCTTGCATATATTTTGTACTTAACATTGTTGGAAGATCTGAGTCTTTGTAGAATTAAATGTAGTATTAGTTATGCTGTGTTGAGAAGCTTTCATGTTTGTAGGGTGTTTACACAAAACCTGAAATGTTTGTGCCCTCACTTTTCCACCTTTGTTAGATAGTCTAATAGAAAAAACTATTTCAGTCTACAAACCTTGCTTCAAGTATAATATCAACACAGAAAGTTAACACACAGCTAAATAGTTACCTTACTATCCAGACAAGGGCTTTCACAGTAATTTTTTTTTTTTAATTTGCTCCCTAAATTTTGTCAGCATCTTTTAATTTTTTTTTTTTTGCCTAAAGTGAATTCTCAGTTGTACATCTGATTCCAAATGATATATGCTACTCAGAATATGAAAAACAAATTCAGGTTTTCCAAATTAATGTAGGGGCAGGATCAATGGATTTTTTCTGATGTTGTCATGCTGTTTAAAATATATACAAATTCCTTTATTTTAGAAACATAAGTATAAACATGAAGCTGCCCTTATTATTTAAGAAAGCAATGTAAAACTTCTGGTTTCTCATGCGTGGGTGTGCTAGTGATACAAATTGACAACTGTTCCAAAAGTTGTAGTTAATTCTAAGGCAAGAAGAGACAAATAATCAGATCTAGTTTTATATAACCCACTCTTCTGGGGCAGAGAGGGAAGTGAAATCATCCTGATATTTTTTCTATATTAAGTAGAATTTAAATTGTGCAGGTATGAGTCATAATATCGTTATATTTTGCTGGGATAATGATATACTCATTTGTAATTTATTCATCCTGTACTTGAGAAACATTGAAATTTCTGCTTGGGGTCAATCATTTCTGCTAAAGCAGGTTAGTAGAAGCCAAATATTTCACTTTATAGATCACAGTTGACCTTCTGGTTTTGTGCAAACTGAATCCTTTGAAAACTAATGAAAACATTGTTCCAAGCGCTTATTTCTCTGTATGTGTGTGTGGTTTCTGTATTGAGTGTTTAACGTTATACTTGAAAGATGAAAAGAACTATGGCTAGTAATAAACTTTATTTAGAAATTTAGGGAAATTTTTATACAGAATATATAATACCTATTATTTATTGTTGTTGTGAGGCAAGAATTAACTACAATTATCTTACAGTAGTTACAATAGTTATACTATTAGCTACAGTAGTTATACAGTTAGCTAGAATAATGTAAATACAGTTCAGATGCCAAATATTTTTGAAATTCCTGCACACCTTTGAAAACATTACAGCCATTATATGTGCATTCTTGTACATATGCAAGCCATTGTCTGGCTTCACAGGCTTCAATTCTGCACCTCAGTCTTGTGTGAGGACTTGTATTTATTTGCATGTTGCCACAGATGTGTATTAACTCACTGTACACATTGTTCTCTGGGGTGCCTACTTTGCACCTCTTGTTCAGGTTACTAGCTTGGGAACAGCAGCAACCAGCTGCTGTAAAAAAGTTCATTTCCCAGCCCAAGATGCTGGCAGCACCATGAGAGGAATGGAGCTGCTAGGTGGTACATGTGCTTTTAATCTTGTGTATATCTGAGTCAGAGGCTTGAAATTACCAGCTGAAGGACTGGTCTTTCTGCTTGCTTTGTCATAGGAAAATGTGCTGGATAGAGAACCCTCTGTTTTGGAGTAGAAAGGTAGCAACTCCAAGTTTATGGCTATTTAAAGAAATAGGTAGATTATATATGAAAGTCTTTGTGTGTTCATCAGCTGTGAAGGAATTTAAGTCTTCTGTCTGAACAGTATTGAGTAGAAGTTCTTATGGTCATTTGAATGCTGAGTGGAAATGGTTTTGTTTGCTTGCTTGCCTTTTAGAAAAAGAACATAAAATGTCACAAAACTTTGTTCCTTGTTAAAACTTTTGCATTACCTCATATGCTCCATAGCATATATAGTGAAATTAAGTTCACAGTAAGCATCTCCTTGGTTTTCTAAGTCTGACATGACTTCATGGGGACATATTGGCATGCTCATCTGTTAGAAGTTTTATGCCGTTTTCTTGGTGAAAAAAACCAAGAGTTCTGCTTCACTGAGTCTCCATGTTTCAGGTACTAAGTATGTAATGCAGGTAATGGAATTGTCTATAGACTGCTGCTGTATGTGTTTTATTTTCAGATCAATATTTTAAAAATATTAAAGAAAAACTAAAGAAAGATGGAATCATCCTCAGAAATGAATTAAAAAAATTGCTGCATTTATGTCAGAATTCATCTGATGTGGAACTAGCCAGAAAAATTATTTACAGGTATTTTTAACAATCCAGGTAACTCTCTTTTCTGTTTTTATCTTTTATCTTTTTTGCTTTTATTAGATCATTCCAGGCTATGTCTGCAGTTGAGGTCTTGCCCTAATTGCAATATGCATAGGTAATCCCTTAATTTAAGGCTGTATTTTTATTTAAGTACTTTGGACCTTCCAACTCTTTGGAGACTCTCACGTCAAAGGAGAGTTAAGGTATGGGAGCAAAGTGGTGCCCTACTGTATGGTGAACCAGAGAGAAAAATTATCCCACAGCTGCAAGGCAGAGATGTTCTGGGGCATCCCAGCCAAGACATGCCTGGTTATAAACTGCCCTGCAACCAGTAGTCAGCAGCAGTAGGTTTTGTGAATGGAAATTTTCCTAGTAAGTATGATATAGGGACTTAAAGAAAAAAGTGAAATGCTTTATCTTTAAGGTTTAGCAGTTACTGCTGCTAAAATAAACTGCTGCCACTTCCTTAGCAGTTGTTCCATGAATAGAAGGTAAAGTAGCTCAGAATTTTCAAGGCAGAGACCCATTCTATTATTTATTTAATGAAGGTTATTTTATTGGTAATAAAAGAGATTGTTTATTACCAGTTAATTTATTTGTTTGATCAAAACAATAATTTTCCTTGAAATTGATTTCCTGTTATCTATATATCTTGGCTGCAGCTAGGAAAGTGTGCCTCAGTCATTGCACCTACAGATCTTGCTGTCTATTTAAAGCTGTTCTCCTTTGGCAAATTCCATGCCCTGTGTGATTAATTTTTTAATCTTCCCAATAGGTACCATGAACAGAATAGAATCACAGCCTTACATAATTTTAAATTTGGGCCACTCTTTATGAGACTGTGTTATGAGCTAGACCTTGAAAGACCTGCAGTAGAACTTATCAAAGATCAGGTAATCCCCCTGTATATATATTAAACATATTGTTGATCTTATTATTAGTCAGACATGAGTAATGGTATGCTACACATGAGCCTTGCATGAGCTGATAGACTTGAACATGTGTTGCAGTAACAGATATATTTGACATTAATTTAGGTGTGCAGATTACATGTTTTTTTATGTTAACATAGTAATTAAATGTTAGTTTGATTGGTAACTTTATTTCTGTGTAACTGTATCATTTGAATAAAATTTAAATAAAAAGTATTGATGAAAGAATAATTACTTAAAGGAATACAGCTGATGCACGTTTTCCTGCATGTTGTGTTGCATTAAATCATTCTTGGAAATGAGCACTTGTAAGTTTTTCTGTGGTAGTCCTCTGAAATTCCTTGGATTACTTGCACCAATGGGTTCATCTTGTTGCTCTGTACTTCAGTTTCTCTCTGAACACTGTAGAGGTGGTATGATACTCATCAGCTCAGAAATTTGGCCATTTTAGTGCTGAAGAAAGTGAAGGACTTGTTTCTGAGCATTTCTAAAATTCTGTGTGCACTATTATGCAAGATAATAATCAGGTCCAGTGTGTGCAATAATGTTGTGACTTCAAAAATCTCTGGTAGCCAATGAAAATCTCACTGATACTAATTCATTAAGGCATGAGATATGTCTAGCCAGAAACTGGAGAAGTCTTACTACTATTCTTAAGTTAGGCATGTATAAGAAAGTGTATATGTAGTTTCTATTATGGTTTGAGTTTTTTTAAATTGAGATCTAGATCATTAAGATGGGAACTGCTGTACTTACAGTAAGTGGTGTGTAGAGGTTGAGTACCACTTCTCCAGATTCTACTACAGAAACTCAATACCTCTGATATATTTTATTTGTCTATTCCCAACATGCACTGTTGGGAATAAAATTTAATTCCTTTCTCTTCTAATACTGTTACCATCATCACTTATGCTCTTGTGCTGATCATTTGATATTGTGATTAGCAAAGATTCATTCCATTTCATGGTGGTGGTACTTCACTCCAAAATATACTGTTCATAAGCTGCAAACTGTCAGTGATTTCTGCTTCCATTGACTAAGAGGTCATTTAAAAAAATAGGATAGTGGGACTCTCAGGGAATTTTCTGTTTAATTTTAGTGACCTTTTGACCATAATTTGACAGAGAGACAGACAGGCAAGGAACCCAGAGATTAAATGCTGAACTTGTAAAATCAGACTTATTCCAGTAGGAAGACCTGTTAAATGCTGTGCACAGTAAGACTTCACTGTCCTGATTTTTTTATGCTTGCTCTATTTCCTCTCCAGAATTTGCATGGTTTTTTCTCAGACAGTACATCATTCCATATTTTGATGACTATGTTGTTTAAAAAGGGCCATTTTGAAAGTAAGTACTGTATTTGCTAAGGAAAATTAATTTTGGGGAGGATGCTTCTCACTGTAAGTGGTGCATGTGTGTGTATATATATATACACATATATATATTGGCTGATTGGCTATGGTTTTAGATGGCCAAACATTGTACAAATAACTGTAGATGTGAATGTGTTGCATTGTGGTGTGTAATAAAAATGGAAGAGCATATTTGTTTCATATTCCCCACAGAATTCTTGCCATTCAAGTTCCACAGAACTGTTGTTATCCAAGAGAGCTTTTTCCCCCCAAACCTCTTCACTGAACTGTTACTTTTCTTTGCTTCGTTATTTCCCATAGCATTTTTTCTTCTCTGTTGAAAACCTGGTTTATGTGCGCTTTGGAATGTTAATTTCCTCAACGATTTTTTTCTCCATTCTGCATTTGTGTCAGAGCAAGGAACAGTACCTTTTCACTTGTGTCCTCTCTCAGAGTGGCTACTGTAGTGTAGAAATCCAATGCTTCAAATCAGTTTGGCCCTATATGAAGACAAGGAGAAATCGTCTGACCTAACTTAAAAGACTTCCCATGAGAAAACCTTAAAGCTTTTCAAGCAAATCCCTTTATTTGATATTTGTTGAACACATAACAGCTGGTCTCTTAACATTTGGCAAATTTGAGTCTAGCAGTTGTCCTAAAAGTTGCAACTTGGCCACTGCAAAAGAAACCTAGATCAGCACCTAAACACCAAACCAGAGGACACCGTCTTAAGTTGCATCAAGGGAAATACAGGTTGGATATTAGGAAAAAGGTTTTTACAGAATGGGTGGTAAAGTATTGGAATGGTTTGCCAGGGGAGGTGGTGGAGTCACCATACTTGGGTGGGTTTAAAAAAGGATTGGATGTGGCACTTGGTGCCATGGTCTAGTTGAGGTCTTAGGGCTGGGTTGGACTCGATGATCTTGAAAGTCTCTTCCAACCTAGTGATTCTGTGATTCAGCATTGTGAAATGGATCATGTGAGTTAATGAGGAGATGCTATTGTAGTTTGCCTACAGTGGTGAAAGCTTTCTGGGCAGTTAGGAACAATGAGGGTGGCTTTTTCAAGTGTACAGAATTTCGTTTTAGATTTTCATATAAAAATAATGGAGGAATAAGGCCATGTGCTGGTGTAAACTGAAAACCCCCTTGCTAAATTGAAAGAGATCCAAATGACTATGCATTAAACTTTTTGAATTTTTTAAATAAAAAATTTCAGTTTGCATTCATATTTTCAAATAAACTTATTGAACTCATACCTTATTGATTTGTTTCTTCTTTTCAGTTATGAGAGATACAGCCTTAAATATATGAAGGGAGTAACACTAATATATTTTTGATAGGTGCTTTGGAAGTTCTGGTCGAAATGAAAAAACAAGGTATACCCTTCAACAAAGAAACCTATCTACTTGCAGTTGCAATATGCTATAAACTGGTAGGTATTATGAATGAAGAAGTGTTTAAAATGCTTTCTCTGTCTCTTCCTTTAGATTTTAAATTTTGGATGTTTTTGGGTTTCCATAATTTCCCTGTCATGATTTTGTATCTAGTGCAAGTATTTTAAACTTATATATGTAAGTCCTAAGGTGCTTCATCGTACATGATATGGTGTAAATACATTGTTTCCCATACAAACTAATGTGACAAAGAAAATCTCTAAAAAGTTGCATGGACATGAGCATTAAGAAACAAATTTAGTACAGCCTTTGATTACCTTATTCTTTCCCTGTGATGTTTGCATCTCTTCAGACAGAATGCTGTGCTTCAGCCTCAGTATTGGTTTTATAGTCTCATTTCCTTAAGGCATATACATGATGTGTTCTATTTGCCAGACATCCCCCATCCATTTCTCCCCTCGCCCTACAAGCAGTCTTGTAATTTCGTTTCTGTAATTTTACACAAATTTGGCAAGGAATAGAATTGTAATCTGTTCCCTACACGCCTGATGAAAAGGGACAGCTGGATGGAGAAAAGAAGCATAAATTAATGCCTTTAGGTAAACAGACAGCCCCTTGAGCTTACCTGTATGTTTAGCTCAAAGAAAAAGAGCATGAGCATGGTAAGAAACTAGAATACTTCAGTTATATGAGTGTTTTCTTGGAACTTTTTCCCTTTCATAGCAAAGTGAGATCCCAGAACTTTTTTATTTTGATCTTCCTCTCCAGATTTGAGTCAGTTCTGCAGTAACCTTTTCCAGACCCCTCTCTAGGTCAGGAAAAGGGTATTGAAATTTTAATATGAATCTTCCCCAAACTTATTTGGAAACTCTTCTTCCATTTCCTCATCTTTTATAAAGACACTCGCCGGGGAAAAAATTATACCACTAGACTAAACTTCCTGAGGTTTCTCAGTTAACCATACAAGGAAACTGAGTGCAAATATGATAACAAGGACATAGCCTAAAAAGGTACCTCAGCAGCAGTTAATGTGATTTTTCTGAAATTCTCGGTTCCAATGAATTTAAGCTGCCTTTAGGTCTGTTGTAGCTTCTTTCCTAAAATGTTTGCACGTTTGTTTAGCATGGTCTGCAGTTAGAATGCTGGGATCCAAGGTATGTGCTACAGGAATAGGTTCCCAAGGCTTCTTTGTCTTCTACTTCTAGCCCTACATATATTTTCAACAGAGAATCTGGCCCATTATTACTATTGATGAAAAGAGAGGGGGAGATGATTCTACTCTGTCACCTGGTTGGGTTGAATAGTTACAATAAATTTGTGGGGCTTTTCACTAAGATAAGATACTATCAATAGGGAAGTAAGCTGTAGTAACCCTTTATGCACTAAATAGGATTAGGTGGAGCTCTTTAAAAGCTTAATCTATTGACTCATCTCTTAGGAGGAGGAGGAGGAGGAGAAAAGGTAAAGCTCAAACTTACTTTTTCTCATGACACAAGATAAGACATGTCAGAAAAAATCTTGAAATTGTCTTCAAGATGTAGTACTCAAATAATATAAATAACAGTATTGGTATCATTAAAAGCGTTGCTGGATTTTTACCATTCTTGGTAAAAAATGCTGGATTTTTACCATTCTTGGTTTCTTTTGAATAACCTTGCCAGAGACCAGTACAGAAAAATGTACAAGGCTTAAATTCAGATTATTTCCAGTGGATAAACAGAGGAATTAATGTTTAATCTTTGCACAAAGGTATTTTTGGGGTCAACGCTGAAACACTTCTGGGATGGTTTAAGTTTCTGTAAGGCACTGCGATATTCTGAGGTAACATCAGGAAAGAGCTATAGGCCTTTTGATGATAACAAAGTATTTATGTAATAATAATCAATCTTCTGATCAAAATGTTTCTAAATTTTCAAGGAAAATATTTTGAACCATATTTTGCAGGAAGACACTATGAATACTAGGAACAGAAATCAACACCAAATCTGAGGACTCTTATCCATATTGGTGGTACCAATTGTTACCAAACATTCCTGCTGCCAGCTTTTAGGTTTGACAGATACTATTTTGTTTGGGGTCCAGTCAGTTCCACTTGTGATTTCCACTCTCCATTGGTTTGGAGAGTCGATAGTTTGAGAGGTAGCACACAGCTTAACTCATTGCCATTTAGTATTGCCTGTTGAAAATTCCCTGCAATAATGGAAACCTTCTGTGTTGGAAAAAGGCAGATGTCTAAACTGTAATATTACATTATATACTTTCGAAGCATTTTTCAAGAATTAATCCTTAAGAGAGGCTAAAAATGGCTAAATGTTCAAATTCATTAGAATTCTTTAGTGGAATGGTACTTAACAGTTCAAGCTTAAAAAATGTTGATTTTGAGTAAGTATCTAATGTAGCTTTTATAATTAAGTAACAACAAAAATTAATATTCCTTCCTGATTTAGAAATTATTTGAAGGTGAAAATGAAAATATCTGTTTGTTTAGGTTTGTTCTGCTGTTTCATCTGTTGCAGAAGCCCAAGTAGTTAGGGCAAGGTGTAGTTGTTAAAATAACAGAAGTTACTTTTACCCTCCTGTGACCTCTGTCACTTTGAATATCATATTTTTATGTTGTGTTTCTCAAAAAGAGCTGCACAGAATCTGCTTGGTTGGGTTCAGATACATACTGCCTTTGTGATTGTACAGTATGTTGACTTCTGAATACTTTCTGAATGTGATGGTAGGTGCTTATAGTCCTTTCAGGTAACTATAAAAACAAGCACAACTTCCTGTGATATTTCTATGCAGGGCAGCCCAGAGTCTTCCAAAATCTCTGCGAGACTGCTTGAAGAAGCACAGCTAAAAGGTGACACCTTACCACTGCGAGCATACTGCTTTGCAATGGCAGCTGCTCTCAAGCAGGTATGGTCTCTTTGTTTTCAGTTGTGCCTGGGTCTCTGTAGAGAGATACTCTCTAGTTTTGTTGTAGATAGGTAGTGAAAGGAAGCTAACATGGAGAAAGCATAACTGTGTAATAGCTTCAAGTATTGGAACTTTTAGTCTCCTGAAATAGTAGGATTATACAAATTGAATATGGAAGTTTCTAAATGCAAACATATGTCTTGAGTATAATGCACACATATTTTGTGATAATACTATCTAGAACATCAAAAAATTATAGAGTTAGGCCAGCAGGTTAGGTGTCACCATGGATCTAGTCCTGCAGATACTGCTACTTAGTGGTAATTTCCATTAAATAGAATTAAGATGATAATTTAAAGTATTTGCACAATCATCTCTTTTAAATGTTTGTCTTGGGAGGCAGACTCAAAGGCTTTGATATGTATTTCACTACTGCCAGGGAGGTGGAATTTCTCCACAATATGTTTCTACCTGGGGAAGTTTTGCTTTATCTCATATGCCTAAGTACTGGTATGAAGAGGCTCTGACACTGCACAGGGTGAAAAGTGCAGCAGAAGAATAACTATTAGGAAATTCTAAAGTTTGGAATAAAGTTTGGATTTCCTCTGCCATTAATTTGTGTATGCAGGTTGGGTATGTCATTAACCTTCTCTGTTTCATGTTAAAATAGAGGTCAGAGACACTGGAAGTGCTATAAATTTGTTCTTACAAATTTGGATGAATGGAGTAGAATTGTTAAAAGTTTCTGTGCACTCTGTGGTCTTTTTTGCTCTGTCTGTGTGAATGGAGACACTGAAAAACAGCATCATTGAAATAAATTTATTCATGTGTACAATGGCATGATAATATTCTTGTTTTGCAAATGGAATAATGCTCCATGTTACATTTAATTGTTATTTAAGCTGAATGAATTTTGACAGCACTCTTTGCTGTAAGAAAGATGTTTCTTGATCCCAAGTAACATTGCTTGGTCTAGTAAATGTCAGTGTAACATTTAATGTCTATTCAAATCAGTTGATGACATAGATACAGTATTGTAAATATGTATGTCCAAAAGGTTAGAAGGGCTGGGCAGGGTAAATACACAGACTAACATATGCTGCACTTCATTACTCAGACATGTGTGGAATGGAGCTTGTGTGTAAACCTTCCATCCTTTAGGTGATCTCATGCTCAGTGGTGGTTACATGTGACAGACACACACAGTACTAAAGAGCCAGATGACATGGGAACTCCAGCATGGGGTGTTTTGCAGGCTGGGTGCTGTTTGGTGTCTATAGGTCTTGGTAAAGGGGTTCTACATGTGATTTATTGAAGAATTGTTAAGGACTGTTGTTTTTCTGTCATTGTGCAAGTTTCTGACACATGTGTGACTATATTATTTATGATTCCTTCCAGAACGATGTAACACAAGCCAAATTTTACTGTTCCCAGATAATGAGAACAGAGAACAAACTATACAATAATCTTAAAGTAAGTATGCTTGCCTTGTATTAAATTTTTGCAGAGTATGCTACACTGGCCAATAAACTCCCAAGTTCAAAGTAATGTAAGACCAGCCTCTTACTAGCACAGGCATGTGTTGGTAGTGTTGCTGAGCTTGTTTTTGAGCCAACAGACAATTTCTGTCAGTTGGATGACTTACATTTTGAACTGTTAACAATCTCCACCCACTTTTTAAAATCACTTCCTGCCATAGGTGGGAATGTAAAGTAGTCCAATCCTACATGTGTGAGCATAGACCCATGAACAACTTCTAGCTAAGATTTTTGCTTTCTAGCTTCCGAAGATTTTAAAAACCCAGCTCTAAGTAAATGCTCTGCCCACTTTAGGCCTCCTTCAGCCCTGCACACCATATCCACATGTGTACATACAACAATTTTTTTCTTTAGTTGTGCAGTCTACAGTCTGAGAGAAAGTCTGCACGTGCATGTATAAGTGACCTCTAAACTATGGTAAAAACCACTTTATTCAAGAGCAGGTAGTGCAGCTCCATCACAGGAGCTCTGCCTCAAGCCTCACCCTTCCTTTCCAGGTCCCACCTGGTAAAAAACCCCAAACATTTGAAGAAATTGATCATTCCATCTCTTTCTTTGCAACGGATGGATTTTTCTCAGTGCACTGTCTGGAAATGAATTTTACCCAGCTTTGCTTCATGTCTTCCTGAAACACTTCTGTAAAAATTTGCATTCTTATGATATGTACTGTTTGTGTGGTTTGTTTTTATTTTATTTTTAAGGTCCTTGTCCAGCTCAGATCTGGTTTGCTAAAAGAAGTAATAAATACATTAGAGGCAGCAGTGGAAGTAGATACACCTCCCTTTGTGAAAAGAACTGAGTTTTCTGAGCAGGTGGTAAGTATACAGTGATGAGAGAAGGTTCATGGTACTGAGCTGAGCTGTGACAGTGGTGGCTCACCTACAGGACTTAGGTGCGTGAGTTCACCCTGCTCTAGTTGTTTGGGTTCTGGTGCATGCCGAGGCCAAAGCAGCTGGCTGGCTTCCTCTGCTCTTGATCAAAACACTTAGCTGTTAGCTTCATTTTTTTATTCTGGATCTTGCTTCTAGAAGCTCATGTTTCATCTGAATGTAGGTGACCCTTTCCCTGGTGGAGTTAAATGATTTAATCCCTTGCCTCCTATGCTATTTTCATTTCATATGAAATGAGAATAAAGCTTCTGGTAACAGTGATATTGTTAGGTTGGTGATATATATGAAAGACCTATAATGCTATACAGGGAAGTGTGATAAGGGAAATAGTAGCTTTGCTGTTTAACTATATGTTACTGTGAAAACTGACTTTTACAGCCTTGAACAATAAGAAGGCTTTCTGCCGAACACATATGAAGCCCTTCTCGGTTTGTCAGCATTTCTGCTGCTTTTCCTGAAGCTTTTTTAGTATTTAATTTTGGATATGCCTATAAAGCAAGACATTTTAAGACTGTGTTAATAATTAAATACTTAGTCTTTCACTGCTGCATATGAAAAAAATTAATATGCAAAATAATAAATATTAGGAGAAGGGCAGGGCCAACCTTTCAAAATATAGCTGATATATATGAACTGCTGTGTTGAAAAGAAATTCTTTAAGCAGCATTTTGTTTTGTAAAATCATTGCAATAAACATTGCATGTATTAGTGTTGTATTTTGACTTTGTTTGGGAAATATTTAGCTGCCAAAAGAAGACTAAGCATTAGTCCTAGCTGTCCCTTTCTACAAGAGTTTATTGATAATAATATTTTTTAAGGGATTTACCTAGCATTTGAGCTCATACTCTTGTGCATGGCAAACAGAACTTCTCAGTATTCTATAGTCTGAATTTTATGGATTTGTACTGTAGTGTGCATTTACAAAGATACATCATAATAATTAAAATTGTGCTGATCTGGAAAGTAGATTCCAGGAAGCAATTATGTTTCCTGGATTTAAATAGAAAATAATCGTGTTTGTCTGCACTAAGATTGAAAATAGGATTGTACAACTCTGAGGAAGTTTTAAATCTAATAAACTCTCTTTAATAGATAACCAGTGCCTTTCTACCATTTTGTTGTGATGCATAATGTACTTTTTATAAAATCATCATGTTATGAGTCATTGCCTTAGCCACCTATCTTACACTGTGTGCTTTTTGGTTTTTTACTATGAGTTATTGCTTTTCTTCAGTGTGGTGGTAGAATAAGAGCTCCACTTGCTGAACTGTAATATGTCATTTTCTCTTCCTTAGCTGGCTACAGTCAGGGAAAAGATGGAAGAGAGCCCTGACCTTTCTGTCAAATTAAGAAATATTTATACGAAACTACAAGCTTCAGGACAGATAACCATGTGCACACTGGAGGACATGCTTTTCCAGATTCCTAGTTCAAAGAAGACCACTGCAAAGGTTTTAAATCAGAAACAATTGGGCTGTCAGGGTACTAATCCACTTTGGTCAAATCTGTAGTTGGGATAGCTCAGTATTTGATGCCAAACTGAACTGCTGATAGTATCTCTTATAATCCAGTTTCAAATAGAATGTCTTTTCCCTTTTTACACAGTGAGAGTTTTAAGTTGTTTGTATAAAATTTCATTTTAAATACTGATCATGTAGCTTCCATGTTTCAATTTTGATCCTAAAAACAAGCTGCAACAGTGGTTATTTGTGTGTTGTTCAGAAATGGGAGTGATAGAAAGATTTGACTTTTTCCTTAGGCTTTTGTATCAGAATTTTCCTATGATAAATATTTTGGAAAGTGAATGGATGCAAGTGAGCAAAGCAAGCAAAGTGTTACAAGTATCTGACCTGACTTCTGTGGTTCATGAGAAGAAAATTTGGTCTTCATCAAGTTAAATGTTCTGACTGAAACGATAGAGGCAGGCAAGAGTCCAGAGCATGGAAGTGCTTGAACTGTTAACTCAGATCTGTCAATCTCAAGAGAATCAGGGGGAAGGATGCATCTTTTGTTCACTTTAATATCTTTTTCTTCTAAAGAAATATATTAGCATTTTTTTCCTATCAACTGGGATCATGGAAATGCCATGGGAATTAGCGTGGTAACCAAGGGGTTGTTTTCTCACTTGAAGGAGATTCCTGATCAAAAGTCACTCTCAGAGTGAGTGACTGCACAAATTGCTTTCTTCTCATTTTCTGGTATTAAGAATCCTAGGATAAGCCAATCTTGATGCAAATTTCCAACTAAGTCATAAAAAGTTTTTTAGAGCAATTATGATGACATTTTTAGCTATAATTACACCATCTGCATACTTTACCCTATTTTTGGATTGAAAAAAAAGTACAAAGAAGCCTTTCTTTGTCCAGCTTTAATGAATCTAGATCAAATGTGCTGGACTCTAGCATTAAAAAGCTGTGTCTGTGAGTGCTGTGTACCCAAGAATCTGAACTCACTCACCATCAAGAATAGAAGGAATTGGAAACAGATATGCCTTGGCTAACATTCATGTGCCTTTGGGTGCCTTTGCATGTGAAGTGATGAACACATTGATAAAAGAACTTGGCAGCCTTGTGAACTGACAGCTAGGTGGAACTCAGCTTGATACTTGCCAACTTGGGCTGCATTTTCTCTCCTCTACCTTCTGTTTATTTATTTTGTCTCTGCCCTACTCAAGCAAAAGTCACGGCTCAGAGTGTATTCTCTGTGAATGAATATCTGCATCTGTATCACTGAAGGCATTGAGACACCAAAGAAACAAGAACCCATCCATGTTTCAAAACAATGTGGCTTCAGGCAGTGGGATGTTGCCTTCTGAAGCTCTAGCTCTGTAACTTATTTCTTTTGTCACAGTGTGTCTTGTTAATATTTAAAATGTACAAAAACTGTTACAAAGTAGATGGAATTTCATGCAAGTGGAAAATAATATGAAGTGTGTATCACACTTCTGAATTTCATGCAAGTGGAAAATAATATGAAGTGTGTATCACACTTCTGTGCATCGTGTGTACCCTTTTTATGATCGGTGGCATAAAGTACTACATACATTAATCTAAAAACACAGCTATTACTTTTTCTGTAATATTGTGTAGTATGTAATTCCATATGTAGTTTCCTTTCATTGAAAATTCCTTCAACAGATGTAACCCTTGAGAAGTTCTCAATCTTTTCTCCACAAATAAATTTGATATGATCTTTGTAAAGGCTGCTTGCAGTGTAGCAAGGATTAGTGGTAAAAAAAATTAATTACTGTTCAGTTTACTCTGTTTGTATGGACAGGAAAACTGTCTGGTGTCATCCAGTACAATTGGGACAGCTGTTTGGTGTTGAAAGTGTATAAATGTCACATTTTTAAAGGCCATCAAAGACAGTTTGACCCATTTAGCTCATTTAGCTCTGCATAGCACATAAATAAGGTCAGTTCTGTTTAATTTCCTAACTTGGCACTTTAAAACTTGTATTAATTGCAAGAAGTTGTAATGTCCTAGGACTGTACATGTGTGCTTGTTAATTCTAATCAGAATTGTTTAGCTTCCTAACTAAGGCTGTATCCTACCTGCAACTGAAGTAATCATAACTTCTATTAAAATTGTCAAAATATTTGATGTTTTCCATTTTTTTTTTCTCTTGACTACTTGTTTTCTTGAGGTTCTTGTTTTCTTGGGGTTTATTTGTAAGTTGATTTTTTCTTTAGAGAAATAACATCTTTGTCTTGAAAAAAAAGGAGATGCACTTAGCTAGCAGTACTTCAGAAGAAAAGGAAAGCAGGGACTTAAGATTAAAGGATAGGTTCAAAGAAACACAGACAGACTGTTGCTCTAGAAGTGTTGTAGAAGACTGTTAACATTTTCCCTTAGTGAAAAAAAAAGCTGGGAGGCATAAGGTAGTTCTAATATTTATGCAGCTGATTTCCAGCTAAATCTAATTTGTGTCATACAAGTACCAGAGTCTGTTATCTGGGTAATCTTGGATTTGGGTGATTATTTATGGATTCATCTTTAGGTGCATCAAGATTCACTCTGACTTTTGTGTTGAAGAGTCTTCAGTCTGATGCTTAGTTGAGTGTACTTAGGTGCAGTTGAATCCTGGTATCCCAACACCCAGGATCAGGAACCCAAGCTCATCTAAAGATAAGCAAATACTTAGGGGTTTTGCTGGATTAGAATGGCCAGAATGTCAAGGGCTGAGTTGCTAGACTGCTCTCATGGAGAAAGCCTCAGAAAATAGGATGAGTAATAATTCCATTGTTACTGGAATTGATACTCAGTTTTTATCAATGATGAACCTTGAACTCAAAAAGAAACCAACATTCTCAAAATAATTTTTTTATTATTTTAAATAATTTTAATTTAATAAATGTATTTATTTGTTTATTCATTTATTTATTATTTTATTATTTTAATTTATTTTTAACAATCTGAAAAAAAACCCAAGGCATTTACATTTCAAAGTGAATTGCTGCAATTTTTTTCTCTAGGCTTCACAGCAAGAGATTCTATAGGAAGTGCTGCTTAACATTTTATGTGTTGTGAGTAGGTATGGTGAGGATCTGAGAGCTCTTTGGGGTATTCTTGTGTGGAAAAGGATTGCTCTTTATCATACTCAGATGTTCTTCTTCCAGTAAAATGAAACATGGGTTTTGTGCATCTCCTTGCACTGCAGCAGCCTTTTGGAACAGTGATCCAGGAGACAGCAGGTGGCGTTTCTTGACCATACTCTCCTGCCAACATTATTTCCAGGGACGGCCTGCAGTGCCACTCGTGTAAGGCCAGAGCAGAGTAAATTGTTTGCCCTATATTTAAGATGTGCCATCTTAAAATGGAAAACTCAGACAACAGAAAGGTGCCTCGAATTGTTAGTAATTGTTGGTGATGACTGCAAACCTAGAGATTTACAGCACTTGCTTTGAAATTTACAGCATTTATTGAAATGTGATCTTTGTCAATGATCACAGTACAGTGTGTACAGTATTCTGTGGAAATCCTAATCAAAGACCTGTTAATGTTGTTTCTTGTACACCAGTGACAATTGTAAGTTCTTACATTGCTATACCTTTAAGAGAATGTTGAGTTTTAAAAGCATTCTTAATTGAGTTTTAAAAGCGTTCATTTTTACGTTCAAATAGGATCTGGATTGCATGCAGTCTTCAAAGGACTGACATTCCTCTGTGGTAGATGCTTCTGCATTTCTCCATGTTTGTTGTTTTTCATATTTCTTTCCACAAACATCTTGAGTCTTGGTGAGAAAGGTTCACCTCTTTTGTGCTTCTCTCAAGTTAATTTTCTTGTTCTACATGGTAGAAAGGAAGGTGAAAGGGTTAGTCATTGCAGGAGAGCTCAGGAATGTTTTCAGGCCTCAAGAAGAGCATTCACATATTTAATGAACCTTCTAAACAAGTTTAAATAACTTGCAGCAAAGATTTGTTTGAAGTTTGCAGCAGTATAGAAAGCAGGCAGACCTACCATGCAGAGGTCTAAAGATACACAACTTTGTTTTTCTTTTGGGCTTTTTTTCAAGGTTTCTTCAGATTTCCATCCTTCTAAAAATTTTTGATTGTGAAATAAAAGACTTGTTTGCTTGTTTTTAAATTACATCTGTTGTGGCTCCTTGCCTGCCCTTCTACTGTCACATTCTCCTTAGAATAAGTTTTTAAAAGAAGATGTCATTCAACACCTTCATCTTCTGTTTCTTTTAACCTGCTGTTCATTTACAGCACTTTGGACTCAGCAAATGTCTGGTTGCCTACTTGCAGACTACTTTTTAAGTAATTTCATTTTCGTGTGAATGATAAATTTAAGCAGCAAGATGAACTAGGGAGACTTAAAACTGCTACGGGTACTACTGGTCCAATGTTTTGTAATGTGAAGTATAGTGCTATTTTCTTACCTATCTCAGCTTGTGCTATTGAAGATGGCTGGCTGTAGACCTTCAAGGGCTTTTGTTGAGTCTTTATGCAGTTGTCTGGATCTCCTAATAATTCCAGCAGCATGTGCAGTAAAAACTGAGATAGTCTGACTTACCAGCTCTCCAAGCAGAGATGCTGGTCTTTTCCAAGTACAGATGCTCTAACTGTAAACCCTTGTGTACCATCAAATAAAGTCAGCTTCGAAGTTATTGTGCCATGCAGCAACTCAAAATAAATGAAGGAGCACTGATACTAGAGGGAAATTGGGTTAGGCACTATGCACAGAGATAGGTGTATGGGATCAAAGTCAGCTGGGTCTGAACCTTTTATCTGCATGAAGGGTAGAAGCCCTCTGTTAATTAAAGGAGACTCCTTCCGATGGAGATGGAGGCAGTAATCCAGCAGCTAGTCTGGAACATGTGGAGGTGCTACTCAGGCTTGTTTATCCTTTGGATTTTTACGCTTTGCTAGTCTTCCATGTGGGCACCTGAGAGCAACCTGGAGTGCATTAGGCATGGCTACACTTGAAAGTAAAGGGCAGGTGGAACAGATGATGTCTATCAGATCCTGACCAGGAGAGAGGAAAAAGTCTAAGTGGACTAAGCGTAACAGTGTGTCAAAGCTTGGCTGCATAGCTGGTTTCACAGACAGGCCTTTGGCTTCTGTGACCACAGCCACAGAGAGAACTGGTTGGGTTGTGCTTGACAAAGGGAGTCTTTGCAAACAAGCTTCCTAACCTAGTGAGGGTGGCTGTACATGAGGTATGCCAGGAAGGGTTACCATAACATAGAGGGAACTGAGGGCACTAGAGAAAGTGCAGCTGAACATGGCAAACAGCATGACAGGGAAGGCTCTCTCACTTCCCTATTAAAGCAGTGCAACTTGGGACCCATCTCGAATGCTTGTACAGAAATCTATGAGCATAAGGAATAAGCAGGAGGATTGTGTATACACAGCTGTAGATCCAAGACCTTGTTAGGGTTATGGTGATGCGGCAGGATAGCTCTCATGACTATAGTGCTGCAGTGAAGGGATGCAGAAAAGACTGGGTGGGTAAGCATGGTAAAGAGGAGAGGTTGAGCTCTGTACAAAGCAGATATGTGGATTTTGCCTTGGGACAGGTGATGAGTGAATAGTAAGCATTTGGGTAAGGATCAGAGGACAGACAAGCACAGGGATGCTTCAATGGTTATCTGCTACATCCTGCCTGATAAAGAGGGTGTGTACGCACATTCTTTAAGCAGCTGGAGAAAGTCTCAGTCACAGACCTCGCTGGTTCCTCTCTGGACCTTAGTCACCCTGTTGGGAGGATAGCATAGCCGGACAAAATCAGTCTAGGAGATTTCTGAAATATACTGAGGTATTTTAGTCCATGTGACAGAGGAACGGGTAAGGGAAGATGCTGTCTTGAACCTGTGACTCATAAATATACAACAATTGCTGGATCGTGTAAAGGGCAGCATTGTTTGCTGCAGTGACAATGATTCTTGTGGAGTGATGAGTGTGCAGTTTAAGATCCTGAGAGTAATGTAGATCCAAAACTTCAGAAGAGTAGGTTTTGGCAGGTTCAGGGCCTTACCTCCAGGTTCCTGTAGGAAACTGTTCTGGAAGGAAAATGTCTGGGGTGATATGATTGATCTTCAGAGGCAACATTCTCAGAGCACTGGAATGATCTGTCTCAATGTGTATAAAGTCAAGCAAGCTGGCAAAGGGCCAGAAAGAATACAGAGCTCCTGACTGAGCTTAAACACAAAAAAAGACGCACACAGAAGATGGAAATAGGATAGGGTTACTGAGGAGGAATGCGAAGACATTGCCTGTCCATTCAGAAATTAAGTCAGGAAAACCAAAGCTTAGTTGCACTTAAAATTAGCAAAGAATGTGAAGGATGGCAAGAAAGGTCTTTTATGAGGATATTGGCAGCAAAAGAAGGTTTGAGGAGATTGTGGCCCTACAGGTCAGTGGGACGGGGAGCTAGTGACAAATAACAGGGATAAGACTGAGGCACTCTGCCTTTTTGCCACCACTTGGCAGAGGAAGAGAGGCTGAGACAAATGTGTTTGCTCAGTCTTGAGAAGAGAAGGCTTAGAGAAAACCTTATTCCTGTCTACAGCATCCTGATCAGATGACAAAGAGATGGAGCTAGACTGTTCTAAGAAATGCATGAAGATAGGATTGGGCACAATGGCCACAAGTTGAAACAGGATATTCTGGTCAGGTACTGGAATAAAAGTTATCATGAGGGAGATCAAATACTGAAAGAGTTTACCCATAGAGGATGTAAAATCTCTGTTCTTGGAGGCCTTCAAGAGTCACCTGGAACCTGGACCTCACCCTAAGAAACTTGAACTAATTAGACCTGCTCTGAGCTGGGCTTTGGAGGTCCATTTCAAACTGAATTGTTCTGTTATACACCTGGATGACCTACTGACTATCCTGTCTTGTGAGAAACAAATGAAGATTTCTTATTCCCCAAACAACCATGGTGTAGCTGTCTTATATACAATTATACAAAAAAGATTCTCTTTTTAGTCTCTTTGATACTGAGACTAGTGATTACCTATCCTGGCCCCAATGCTGACTTGAGATGTCAGGGTTATGAGTTACAATGGAAGTTCTGGACTCAAACCTAGCCACTCTGTTTCCCCTTTTATACCAGAATATAGCAGTGCAAATTCCCAGATCATATGACAAC